ATTCTTTACTTCCTTCCGGAGTCGCCGCGCTGGCTTGTGTTGAAAAACCGCAGCCAAGACGCCCGAAAAGTCGTCGCCGCTCTAAGAGGCTTTCCTGTCGACTCAATGGAGGTTCATGCAGAGGTCACTGGCATTGAACACTCTTTGGAAGAAACGAGCAAGGGCGGCGTAAAAATGAGCGATATGCTGAAAATGGGTGAGGATAAGCTCTTGTACCGCTTCGGGCTTTGCATGATGCTCCAATTTTACCAACAGATGTCGTAAGTACTTTTTCAGATTGGTGTCTGCAGATCTTTCTCGTATTGACTATTCCAGGGGCTCAAACCTCATCTCAGTCTACGCAACAATCTTGTTCCAAGAGAACCTAGGAATGGGCACCGAAATGTCACGCGTTCTATCCGGAGGAGCTTTGACTTGGAAGTTTCTATCGTCTTTCCTTGGGTTCGTCTGCATTGACCGTTTTGGTCGCCGAGCTGTATTCATCATCAGCGGTGTTGGGATGTCCTCCTGCATGGTCGCCCTTGCAATCAGCACTTCATTCCCAAAGGAAAACAAAGCAGCCCAAATAGCTGCCGGCTGCTTTATCTACCTGTACAACACGTTTGTACCCATTGGGTTCTTGGGCGCCAATTTTCTTTATGCCACTGAGATTGCGCCGATCAAGTTGCGGATGGCTATGTCATCTCTGTCCACAGCTAATCACTGGCTATGGTATGTGTATTTTGGTCATTATTGGGAGTTGAGCTGACCATCCCAGGAACTTTGTCGTCGTCATGGTTACACCTGTGGCAATCAGAAGTATCGGGTACCAGTATTACATCGTCTATGCCGTCATAGCTGCCTGTATTCCCGTGTCGGTTTACTTCCTGTTCCCTGAGACTATGGGACGAAACTTGGAAGAGATAGACATGATGTTCAGAGAATCTCCGTCTGTACTGGGAACCGTCCGCTTCGCAAGAAATCGCCCGATTGCGATGCCCCAAGAATTTGATCATGAAAAGGGGAGAGATGAGGCAGACTACGTGGAAACCAGGGAGGAAGTTCGGCATGAGCATACACCCCAGTTGTAGTCCCTTGGAAATGATTTACTTCTTCCTGGATCCCCATTCTGCTTGCATCCTTTCAC